TAATGTAATGTATATTAATGTATTTCATTATAATATATATACTATAAAATATTATGAAATATATCTTCAAAAATTATATATTTCATTGTAATAAAATTATTTCAATAATAATATTAATTAAAATCATTAAAATATCTTATTTAGCGTATCTTTATTCTTCATTATATATTACAATTTTTAAAATTCCAGAAAAAATTTTTAATTAAAAAAGATAGAATAATTTTCAACTTTTTCCTTATTTGAAAATTTTTATTCAATACGTAAATAGAAATAAATAGAAATAAAATGTTAAGTATTAAATATATTTTCAATTTATATTGTATTTCAAAAAATAAAAAATTCTATTTATGTATGTATATTGATTGTAAAAATAAATCAAAATTTGCTATTAATTATATTTTCTTTTTTCAATTTGAAAAAAATTTATTTCTTGATATTACAACGCTATTAAAAACGCTTCAAATATAATCAACATTATCTTCTTACCTTACGCTTCTTTCCATATTAATTTCCATATAAATTCTCTTTCTCTTTTTCGCACATTTGCTGATTTAGAAATGCGACGAGTGCTTCCTTCTTGTCTATCTCTGTCGAGTCATTCCCCTACGAGCACTTCGAACACTCATAGGGGAATGACTGTGTTCGGTTATTTGTCAGGGATACACGTAATCGCGCGCACGCGTGCTTCCAGTCTTTGAAAATCTACATACGTCACTCTATCCTTTTCTCTTCTCCCTTCTTCTCCATCTGATTTCTTCCCTCTTCCTTTCGTTCCGTACATTTGTCTCGCCGCAACATGTGCGTACCTCCTTTTTAACCACCCTTCCAAGCATTCTGGCCTTAACTCCAGTCTCACGCGCCTCATGATGCAACAGATTGTGATTATATCGTGCAAATTATCAACCCTAGGGGGCATATCAAGCGGAATATCAACCGCAAAACATCATATAACTTAGAGTAGTCTAATTGCGAAATGTTGTACGGTCGATTTATTAATACTAGAACAACCTAACCTCAAATTGACATTGATTTCAAAATTTTTGTTTTTTTATATATATCAGTAAATTTGTGTTTCAATCATTTGAACTTTATTTATTGAAATGAAATTTATGTCAATTAAGTGAACAATTAAATGAACTCTAATT